TGTCCAGGCCTACACGAGATGAGGCAGGATAAAGAGGGATAATCCCCCTCGATCCCAAATCATTGAGGCCAATTTCTAGCCATAGAATAATGGCGGCGGCGGTAGCGATCCTTGTTTAATGTTTAATATTACATGTTACAGAGTAATAGTGATAGCTATTTATACACTGACGGGATACGACGGTTAAGACAAAGGTAATAATCACCAAAATAATAGATTAAACTATTAAATTGCCAGGAATTGCAAGTAATAATATAATTAAGTTTTGCCAGGAAATGTCAGAAATGCAATCAAGTTTCGTCAGTAATTTCGTGTCGACCTAGTGGCAACCCTGTGGAGGATCATTATGGGTAACGGGTGGCGAACCTGATTGATTGCAACTAATTATTAGGTTATGTATTTTCTATCAGAAATATTAAATTACATTCTTGTGTTTTTATGATACATAAACGAAAATAATGGTGTATTATTTCGAAAGTAACGTTGTTTCACCCCCAACTCTTTTATTCATGGGATTTGATAAAAATGAGAGTGAGTCTAATCAATATAACCTTACTTTTTGTCATCAATGTTTTCACACTTTTAGACGAAGATTTAATAAAATGGGGTTGGCCTGAAGACGTCTGGTTTCACGTTGATAAACTTTCTTCTGCCCATGTATATTTGAGGCTTCGGCCGGTAAGTATAACTTATATTGAGCATAAAATTAAATGATATTGATACACTCAATTTTTAGGGTCAGACAATAGATGATATTCCCTCAGCTGTCTTAGAAGATGCAGCCCAGTTAGTTAAGGCCAACAGTATAATGGGAAATAAAATGAATGATATTGATGTAGTTTACACAATGTGGTCTAATTTGAAAAAAACTGCGGGTATGGAAGTTGGTCAAGTCGGTTTTCATAAAGAGAAGGAAGTTAGAAAAATTAGAGTAGCAAAAAAAATTAATGAAATTGTCAATAGGCTAAACAAAACGAAAAGAGAAGAATTTCCAGGTAACATATGTTAGAGCCTTCATAAATGAATACAAGCCACATGACCAGTAACTTTATTTCCTTCATGTTGGAATTAAGTTCCAGTACAATTTAAAATTATTAAAACAAGATCAAGATCACATTAAAACACAACATTCTGTTTCAACCTCTGTGATTGCTGTAATTTTTCATGAGATATTACTCAACAAATCAGTGATCGCATTATCTCAAACGTAGACATAATGGTTTGATTGTTCATTTTTCTTTACCAGTACCAATGTGCAATGTTTGGGTTGCCTATGCTTAGCGGTCATGTGTCTTGTAAACATTTATGAAGGCTCTGTATTTGTTGGATCAGTCAATTTTTTTTTATGCAGTTATAATTAAAGAAATTTTGATTTTTGGAATGGTAGACAAATTTATGTACTATTAACCTTCTAACCAAATATTCTAGACGAATATAATAACTGTATGTATCATTTAGGTCAATACAAGATTTGTTTTGAAAAATTCATTGGATTCTATTAATGGTATTTATTAGATTTTAGAGCAGAGCGAGAGAAAAGAGACAGAATAGAAAGGGAAGACAAGAAAAAAATATTAAGAGAACAAAAGAAGAAGGAAGAGGAAGATGAGAAAAAAAGAAAAGAAGACGCGGAACTTCGAAGTTATAATTCATTAATGAATGTAGACAATATGGCTAAATATGATGATGGAAATGATTCAGATGACTTTATGTAACATTTAAAAATATCGTTATGATAAATTCTCAATGTTAATATTCATTGTAAATGTAAGTTTTAAAGGTTCATTGTACATTCTGCAACAGAATTGGAACATACTAAAATTTCTTTGTTAAAGGTAAATGGAATAAATTCATTTCAGTAAAAATAAGTTGTGAATATAATTTATTATACTCGTTTATATTGTGTAAAAAAAATAAATATGTTTTTCAATAGTTTTGTTATAAAAATTATTTACTATTTATAAATAATATTTTCTAGGGAGAAGGGAGAATTGGGAGAATGTAATACAGTCGAAGCTCCTTATTCGTGGGGGATACGTTCTGAAAATGTACCGTGAATACGGAATCTGTGACTACAGAGTGGCATTTTGTATGGAAATATAGGGGATACATTCTGCATTTTTGCAAAATAATAGAAAAGTAATTGAGATAAATTTTAACAATATTAATTATTATTATCAGATTTAGGCAATGGTTTAAAGAACTTAGTAATTTTTTCTTGTTTTGCAGCTAATAAAAGGCCTTTTAATTCAGATTAATATTCAGCCGTGGCATTATCAATTTACTTTTATAGACGGATCAATTGTTATGAAGAAATCACAAAGCTCATTTGCCATCCGTAAGCCTACACTCAGGTTTTTTTAAGTTTAATATCACATTTATCAAAGGCCATAGTAGCACATGTAATTGAGCGGCATCAGTTGCGACTTTCGTTAAAGGACTTTCGGCTTCAGGACACTAAAATTTGTTCGTTTATAAATATTTTGATACCAACTTGTTTATTTTTATAAATATATACACATTATATTAAAAATACTATATGTATCGTTAGTTTTGGATCGGCGAATACAGAATTTTTCACCCATGTATACGGGAAGTAGTTCACAATTTTTTGGTCTGTAAATAGCGAATCTGTGAATACGGGAATCGCGAATAAGGAGCTTTGACTGTATAGCGTATAGTGGTAATATCAAGTCCCCTAATGGTGGAGATATGGGCAATCGATTTAATTGGTTTAATAAAAAAAATATTAAAGTCGCCCTGTTTTCGAGATGCAGTGTGTTGAAGTTGTTACTTTCCAAATAGTTTTCCTTAATTATCTTTATATCGGCTAATGATAAGAAAGGTCAAAATTTGTACACGAGTAAACATCAACTGTGTGTTAAGCAGTGTCGCCGATACAGGTAATTGGAGGGGTACAATCGAAAAAAAACTTAAAATTCAAAATTTATAATATTTCTAAACGGTTCTGTAAACTCTAAAGAATACTACAAAAAAAAGGTATACTTGTTGAAATTCGGTAACATGTACCATTTCCGACAAAAATGAAGTTGCATTTTTTTTTGTTCGCATAAAGCAGCACAAGTACCTTACATTATTTGCACATAAGACTATAATTTTAATTTCTTATGTATCACATGAAACAGTTAAATTGTAAAACATTGTATTAACTAAAAAAAAAATAAATTTATTTTGTTTCAGTTTTTTGTAAACTAACATTAAAAAAAAAGTAAATTAAAATAAATGGATTATGGTAATTAATTATCTATTAATAACTAATTTTAGATTTTGTAAACTACTAGTACACTACCATTACTAAAATAAACAATTGTTGAATGGACTGAATTGTTGATGGAAGAATGCTTAAAAAAGTGATAAAAAACAGAAAAATATTAGGAAACAGACTGGGAGACATACAGAATAAAACAGCTGCACAATTAAATAAATGGACAAAACTTGAAATACTACAGTAGATGCTGAAATTGTCTCCTATTTTCTTCTATGCAACTTAATTTTTCTCGAAAATGGTGCATGCTACCGAATTTCAACAAGTATACCTTTTTTTTGTAGTATGCTTTAGAGTTTACAGAACATGTTATAAATTTTGAATTTTAACATATTTTTTTTCAATTGTACCCCTCTAAAAAAATAAAAAAAAGTAAATATTTGTTGTAGTTTGTTCATTATATTTTATTATTATGTATTATAATGTAATGTTTGTTTTATTTTAGGATTATAATTATTAGATATAAGGTTACTTTTAAGTTTTAGAAAGAGTTAAGTTAGAATGGCCAGTGGGCTAGACTTTCGCCTTTTGTAAATTTCACTTAGAAATTGCAATAAAGACATTATTATTATCATTATTATTATTAAAGAGTNAATTTTGACTTTTAACATATTTTTTTTTTCGATTGTACCTTATTAATTACCTGTATCGGCGACACTGCTTTTTAGAAAGAAACTATTTGCACATTATTCTTAATGCACAGTTTACTCGTGTACAAATTTTAACATTTTTATCTTTAGCCGATTTAAAGATAATTAAAGAAAACCATTTGGAAAGTAACAACTTCAACACACTGTATCTCGAAAACAGGACGTCTAAGAAAAAAACTTTACCTGAATAATTCCTATTATTTTGCCATGAGGAACTTGCACACAAGTTTTTTTAAATATGAATGGGACACCCTGTACATTTATACCACACGTCGGTAACTCTTTTCTTCAAGATATATTTCTGTGTGCTGATAGAAATAAGTATTTTAAGACTTTTTTCCATTTATTTTTTTTTATATGTTTTAATTATTTTCAATATATTATTGTAGTTGGAAATCAATTTCCTGAATACTTAGCCTTGATTTACAAAATACTAACGGAGTTAGTGAAGTGTTTATTTGAATGAACAAAATTTATACGACAAAGTTATTTCAGATGTGAGGTTTTTGATATTCACGAATACAAATGCGAATGCAAATATTTTTAGCTGTTCGTTAATGGGAGAGTAAATATTAACAAATAACTAAAAATTAGGTGCTAAAATAAATCAGTAACTTTTGTTAATGTATAAAGGTAAAATAATAGTTTCCATTTTATTACTACAGGATGCAACAAAGTACATAAAAATATTTCAGAAGGTGATTCCTTAGAAAATTTTAAAGAAAGAGATACAGAGCGTGTTAAAGTTTTTAAAAATATACCATTTGTCTGTGCAAATATTTTTTACATCAAACAGTGGCGTAAAAACTGGAGGATATAACCACTAAAAACTTCAGAATTCCATTTATTTAGTAATAGAGAGTTAGAGAGGAGTTACTTAAATAAGAAGTTTTCTGTAATAATAACCTCTCAACGAATGAAGTTGAATTAAAAAAATTAAACAAAAATTCATATATTTTCATAAATAATATATTTTTCAAAAACTTTAACATCCTGAATCTTGAAAACTAAGCCAATTCTAAAATAGGTTGATACAAACTTTTTTCCTAAAAATAATTATTAAATTATTTTTATAATACTGATACAGGATATATTATACAATGTCCATAAACATTCTACCCCTATATCTTAATTGTTAACAATCAACTCTTAGACTATTTTGACCATATTTCTCTTATTATTAGAGATAGACTTATTAAACTTTATATTGCTGTAATGCTATCCAAATATGTACAAATGTCCAGGATGTTCTAGCAAAAAAAATAAGTATGACGTGTTATCAGAAATGCAGTATTGAGTTGTTTTTGTTAGTACAGTTTCGAGTCACAAGAAAATTTCCTATGATATTGGCCCATACCATCCATGTGCAGCAGTAAAAAAGATAAAGCGAATAGTGTCAAATTTTTGAGACTAATTAACAAGACATAAAATGACTCATTTTTTAAATTTTTTCACTCCTCAGTTTTTAAGACACGCGCAATGAAAGTGGCAGCTCAATACCTTTTCATCTGATAGTAGAATATGTCATATAAAACATTAAAACAATTAGTGTACTGGTCTCCGAGATATAAGAGTTACTATTTTTTAAGGGTAGGACCACTGTATAATTTTAAGAAAATCTATTTTTATTTTATTGAATTAAAAGATGCTTCAAATCTTCCAGATTACGGGGAAAGAAGTTTTTTTCTTTCTTTGACATTCCGAGCTCTCTCTCGAGCACATCGGACTGCTCCGAAACGTCTACCTGCGGCACATAGATACCTGTAGGAAGGGTACATCCTAATGACTTACGTTTTGATTTCTAACTTTTCTAATACACTAGAAGTCGTTAATAGTAACAAATGTCGTTAGAAAGAATTTGTGTGTAATTAGAAGCATTTTTAAATAAAAGTACGTTAGTATAGCGTATATATCAAAACTTAAGTGTTTTTCTCAAAACAGGATGATTTTTTTAAATGGCACGCAGCATACTTCCAACAATTTTCATTCTATTTACACCAAATTTTGACCATATTTTTAAAACAACATTCCTAAGAAAAGCACGAATGGGATTTTCGATAAGTTGATTTTAACATTATTTATTGACAAACGATTGCCTCTTTTTTTTGTCAAAAATTAAATTTTTTACTTCAAATGCTAATCAATCACAGAAAAAATAATTTTCAAAATCTCCTAAGTATTTCTCTAATCATTCTCATGTAGATTAAGAGGATTTTTTTTGGTTTTTCTCCATATTCAAATTGCATCAGTTACACTGAGTACCGTAGAGTACTTCAAATTCAACATGCATCGTGAGAATGGCTTCAGCGTCGCCATTTTGTATTTATGAATCAATATATTTTTTGGAACACTTACAAGACATGGTTAACATTTTTGAATATTATTACTTATCCTCTTACTTTTGCAAAAAAAATTGCATTTTTTTTAAAACTTATAATCACCCTGAACCTTAAAGAAAGAGCATTTTTGGAAACATATTCTGAGAATTTTTATAGTTTTCGATGGTATTGTACCGGTAGAATTTAAGAGATAATGAGAGAATATTAGAATGAAAACACTGAAAATTAATAAGATATTTATTTAAAAAAATTTCTTTGGTAAAAAACCTATGGCATGCTAAGTACAAAATACGTATAAATTCTAACAGAGGGGTAAAAATACATTACTTTTTCTATAAAATATGTTCAGGTAAAAAGTAACAATTATTCATTTTATCTGAAAATAATCCCCTACTTACTACAAATTAGTTTATAAATACTTTTGATTATTTTCTCACAATAACCCGTTAATTTTTAAGCATCTGTAATTTTTTCCATTAAACCAAGCATTAGGTATAGGAATAAGGAAATAATTACTGGAAATTTGGAAATTATTTTAATAAAACTTGGCAAACATATTAAGTTTTCCCCTTGTATGTACAAGGTCTGCTACCATTTATTAAATGATACTGAAAATAAGTGTCTTGACTATCTTCTGAAATACTGATTTTATTGCAGGAAAGTTGTTATCAATGTGGTTTCCAATGATCTTCTCTACAAAAAGGTGAACCGTAAACATGACTTTGAACTGCCGTACTGCGATTATCAGAAAAGGTGGGTTTTTTCTTATAAAGCAAGGGAAAGCCAAACAAAAAACTTTGTGTCACACGTTTCAAGTTTAAATTTCCTATTCCCACAACAGTTTACTTTACAAGCATTCATTGGTTGTGACATTACTTCTGCATTCTTCAGGCAAGAGAATATTAAAACGGGGTGTTTACCACGTTTTCCACATCTAACAGAAAATTAAATAATGTGACGAAAAACTTGCCGTCTATCGTTTTATTTTTGTATGAAATCATTTAAAGAAATATACAACTAAAACGAATTTGTGTTGACATGCCGAACTATGCCTTAATTGTGCCATCTATTACTAGGAAGCTCAACTAAAATCTCATAACTGTCCTCATTTTATTTACTAAAAGAGAGAGAAAGGAATTAGTTAAATAATAAATTTTCTGTATAACATGTTCATAGTCTTGTAAGTCACAAGTTGATAACAATGGCATATGGTTTAAGCGCTGAGTGAGGAACTATTTCTCACTCAACGATTCAATTAAAAATTTTCTAAATAAAATCAAAATTTATACAGGGTGTCCCAGAATATGTGGGCAATCTCTCGGAATTATATAGGGGAGTTAAATTAACATGACAAGTTCCTATAAAAATTTTCCCTACAAAGATACAGGTTCCTAAAGAACGCCCCTGAAAAATCGATTTTTTTTTAATAACTTTTAAAATACTTTGTGTAATTTAATTATTTTTAAGAAAAAATAAATGTAAATAAAAGTGACAGTTTTTTAGATAGGCACAGAAAGAATGCAAATTTTATGTTTATTTCTCTTTACGAATTTTATCGATATCAACCAAGAGTGCCTTTTTTAGTTTAAGGTTCAAGCTATCTAAAAATATTATTTTTGTGCCTTTATCGTAAAAGGTGTAAAAAAAATTACATTATCGTGCTACAGCCAGTCCGTCCCTGGCCAAGCAAATAAGCCAAATTGTTTTCATGGATCAATTTTTAAGAAGTCTTATCTGTTGTCCATCATATTAAAACAGTAATTAAATCATATAAAGTATTTTAAAAGATATTAAAAGAAATCGATTTTCAGGGCCATCCTTTAGGGGCCTGTATCTCGGGCATCCTTTAGGGGCCTGTATCTCCGTAGGGGGGCCCTCTAGGGATAATTTTTATAGGGACTTGTCATGTTACTTTAACGTCCCCTATATAAATCCGAGAGATTGCCCACATATTCTGCGCACCCTGTATAAGGAGGTTTTAGCGAGATTAATTGTACAGTTGGTATTAAACAGTGACAAAAGATTATAAGTGTCTTTTAGAGAAAGATAAAAAATTGCAGGAAGCTCCGATAATTTTTAGTAATCTAGAAGCACATCCACAAGGCATTGACAACGCGGGGCAACTATTTATTGCAATAATTTATTGGGCAAGAGTGATGTCGAACATTTGATGAATTGAGGTTTTATATCTTTGTAAAATTGTAAAAATTTTAAATATGGTTGGTCTCCGATTATGACCATCATGGATCTGGCTACACAGGCACTGCTTAACACTACCCAGCATATTTTGAATAGCTTAAGGTTGTAGGATGGAGCCATGCTCTGCAAGCTGCTTTAATTGCCGATGACTATTCTGACTGAAGATGTGGAGAACGATGATTATATGTTAAATAAAAGCAAGATCTTCTCATTTCAGAACTTGGAAGCCATCAACAATAGGAAACTATCATCGATGAAGAAGCCCATCGAAGCGAACGAGGTTAAAGTAAATTTGAAGACAAAATATGGTGGATTAGGTGGTGTGGAAATCAGTAAGTATTACTTAAGCATTACCTTTTCAAGGCAGGAAAAAACATTCATATTACAGAGTAATTGGAAATGTGAATGTGTCCATAACACAAAGAAAATATGTATTTTGCTAGAAAATGATACATATTGCAAGAAAAACCCCGTTTGCATGACTGTATATCCGAACCGATTAATTATAAAGAAAAATTTATAAGGACCTTTTTTATAGAAGATTTCATGGGAAGAGATAATGATAATAATTCCTTCATACAAAAAATTAATATTTTAGAAAATATTTGTGAGAAACTGATTATCAACATCATTTTGTCTATTAAGGAGGTTTATCGGGTACATCTCTTTAGACTTTAGAAATGATAGTTTCTGTAGTTTCGCTAGTGACTAAAGTAATAAGCCTTTAGATTTGGCAATGTTGCACTTGACTGACGCGCTCGGCTCGGCGTCCGCTCGCTCGCGATCCGTCATTTTGTTTGTTTGAATGCCTAAGTTTGAAATAATCATCATATGTCACACCTGCAAATTTCAAATGATAGGCTACATCTAGAAGCGCACCGCTATTACGCATTTGGGGGTTAAGTTAGTCAGCGATAGCAGTTTGAAGGAGAATTATTATAAATTTTCCTTAGATATCGGTTTCCTATTTATACAAGTTGCTGTGGAAATTCTTCAATTGTTGCTCATTCTAAGTGGAAAGACCAAAAAATCTGCATTCTCATAAAACTTCGTACTAAATCGTGAAAAATTATTTTATTAATATCTCATCTCTTAGGTATCCAAACTAGTCATAATTTTATTTCAGGATTTTCTTATATTAATTTTTTTATGAATATTTGTTTGTCAATTCCATATCAGATAAACCTTCTTAAGGCAACTAACGTAGACTTCATACGAGGAGGAAAACTTCAGAGTACATTTACCTAAAGAAAGAATTAAAACAATTTCTAAATTCTCGGGACTTATTTCCTTATTGAACTATTTTTTCTCATTGTCCTCTGACCAACATTATAAAATACATAAATTATATATTTTATATGAGTTAATTTGTGTTCAAACTAATGATGAACTTGTGTACACAAATTTATAATTTGTTTTATAAAACGAAAGTCTCTGTAAGTATTACCTAATACCTGGTTAATACCATTACCCATTTGCACTATCATAATACTTCAATATTAACTGCTTTTAAGGAATCTCTTATCCATGTGGGATAATTTTTATCAGGATATAAATCTAACATAAAGTTAGAAACAAAAGCAGGGAACCTGTCTTCGTGTATACTTTCTCTAATGTTTCTCATGAGCCTCAATTGAAAAGCAACATTATGCTCGGTCAGTAAATGGCAAGCTACAGTATGGCTGGTAACTATCCCATGCAGGAAAGCTCTTGTATAATTCTTGCAAGTGTTACAAGTGCACTCTTTGTCGATGGGGTTAAAATCTCTAGCGTATATATTCTTTTTCAGGTTGATTTGGCCAGTCATAGTCAAACCACATCCGAATCTCTGGAACAATATGCACATGTATACACATCACTGGAAGCGGATGAAAATTAGAGCAGTCATATTTTGATAACGAAACATGAGCTCCATGCATATTATAGGGAATTATTTCTAGCACCACATAGAAAACTATCGAAATGACAAATTTTTGTATTTAAAATATAATTTTTCAAATTTTATGTTTAAAATGTTCTCATATACATCTATAGTTCTTATATAACCCAATACACAGGCATGTTGCAAAGAAAATTAACATATAGAGTCCTGAGAACTTAGTTTTATTTTGTTAATGTTTGTTTGAAATCAGGTAGATCAAATTTTATAGATTTGGGGGCCAATTTTATCTGAAACTTAAACATAGATGAGCTTATGATATTTTCTTCTACTCTAAAAAGCACATTAAGGGGGGCGAGGGTTTTAGAAAATCTAAGCAAGTTAGAAAAAACATCTTTTCACTGTATCAGTTATACAAGTTTTCTCCAGGGTGTAAGACAGTTTACAAGCTGAAAATACATTCAGAATAACGAAAAAATCATATTTTTGCTTCTTATGTTTATCATTACATTTCTTGAACTTTAGATGCCTGCTGAATATACAAAAACTCACGTAGGGTACTACAAACATAATCACACCTCGCAGAATGCTTTTAAGGCAGATAATCATAATTATCGAGTATTTTTACAAAATCTTGACAAAATAGGAAAAGTACAATCCAATGTTTACATGGGTGACCATGTTTTCCGTGATATTTCACTGCGAAAACCTAAAGAAATCATTGTACTTCTACATTTTTATCGAGGGGTGTGCCACAAGTAATTTTTGGTGTACGTTTGAGATATAATTTAAAATTACTTTAAAAGTATAGAAATTATTTATTAAAGTATAAAAATTACCAAATTCTTTAGTAAATTACAAAAATTACAAAAAGTATGTATGAGATTACAAAAAGTATGTATTAAATTACAAAAAGTACAAAAAATTACCTGAGTACAAAGATTTTTAAAATTATTCTTTAAAATTACTGAAAGTACTTAAATAAAATGGTCTGATTAAAAATATTTCATTCAGTTTTGATGAAAACATTGTAGAGATACGGACTAACTTCTGGTGCTTTGCCTAGATTTACCTACTTAGGTACTGTTGAAAAAACAGTCTAGTTTGTTCAGTGAAAATTTGTGTGGTAAAATAACAACAAAAATAAAAGTCTTACTAATAAAACAAATTGTGTTTCTAAATTAGTAACGGAAGTAACGAACAAAAATATTGCAAAATTTTACGATGAAGAGTAGTTTATTGGGAAAATAATACAGTATGACGGCATAGAAATTGTAAAAAATAAGTAAACTTTTATTTTAAAGTTAATATAATATAAAAATAGCTTGAAAACCAAATCAAAGTAGCTTTTCTAATTAAAAAAAAAAATAGAAATAACAAATTACAACTGAAATTAACACCAACAGTGATGCAAGTCCTATTTTCAATTTGTAAACCTTTAATACACATTTTTCTAGTCTCTTTATAAATTCCTTGTCCATTTCTTGCTTAAGTAAGCTTTAGATATGCCCTAAGAAATAATCTAATGGGGACAAATCGGGTGACCGTGAAAGCCAAGATAGGGCATCCGTTGTGTTTAAATATTAGTTTTCTTCTGAATTCAAATTTTCATTCTCTAGTTCTGCCAAAACAAAATTATTAAGAATTTCCAAATACGAATTTTGATTAAGATTTTCTTCCAAAAAGTAAGGACCAATTATTTTATGATACGTTATGCCACACCAGACATTTATTTTTTGAACATTTTTAGCCCAGTATCTACAATTTTGAGAGGAAACCACGCCATTAGTTGTGAATGTTGATTCGTCAGTAAGTAAAATATTGTGATGAAAGAATATGTTTTTGTTACGAAGTTACATACATTATTAAATATTATAACAGAATTACAAAAATTATTTGAAGAAGTCTATTAATTCTTATAAGTAGGTGAAAAAGTCTACAAATTACGAAAATTACGAAATTATATTTAAAAATTACAAAAAATACCAGAACAAATCTATAAATTACTGAAATTACGAAATTATATAAAAAAATTATAAAAAATTCTGGTAAGTAGCAAGGTAATTTTAGGTAATTTAAGTAGGTGTACGTTTTACTGCTGAGTGGCACGCCCCTCGATTTTTATAGTTTAGATGGATTTTTTTGTTCTATCATTGTCTTACTAAAAGTGCGATTTCTTGTCTATAAACTGTCAGACTTAAGAAGATTTCTACAGTTTTCCGAACCTATAATTAGTAACTGAGATACAGAAGTTAGCCAAAATTGTCATTTTGGAAACTATTTCTATCTTAGAAACAGAATAGGACAACTATTTGATTTGTTTTTTATAAGAAAACATACATTAGCTTTTCTTTCTCGCACAATTCTCAAGATAACCCCAAATCCTTGGCCAACCTGTATAGAACATTTTAAAATCATTAAAATGGTGCTATTATATATACTTTTTAAATGTATTTATATTTTTTACTTCATTAGTTTATTCAAAAATATATATATTTTTTAGAATTATAATTTAACTTCATAAATTTTTTCGAGCTGCCTAGTTTTTTCTCATTTCATAAATCAAACTCTTCGTTTTATTTTTGTGAATCTAACATTTATATAAAAAATAAATTTTTGTGAGCCATTATTATTTAGATGAAAATTTTTGCAAAAGTTTGTGGCTGTTATTCCAAAACTTTAATAAAACGGATTCAAACTTTTAAACTAAAATATTATCGGAAAAGTAGTTACCAATATTATTACATTTATTACTTATGCGAGTTTACAGAACCTAGTCAGTATTTTCTTTCTCTGTTCAAATATATATGAAACCTGAACCATATGAGTAAATAAATTTTAGTTACTCATATGACCTGAACTATACTTACTGCTGTCCTTGTCGGAAAAACACAGTCAAACATATCAACACCCAATGCACAACACACAACTAAATCCACTGCAAATCCAACACCCATAAGATATCTTGGTTTGTCTTTTGGAAGGAGATCCGTACACAAATTTACAATTTTCCAAAACTCATCTTTGCTTTCTCCGCCACTTTAAAAATATATTAAACTGATAAGTAAAATAATATCATAAAAATATAACCCTACTGAAATATGTATACTGGTTTATATTTTGGTTTCCAAGAAACTATAAAAATTTGTCTTTTATGTAAACAGTCCACATGGTCATACTTCTATGATAGATATAAATTAATAAGTAGAAATAAAATATTTCAGAACAAATAATAATAATAATGATTGAATAAATAAGTTTAGAAATAAATATGATTTCATGTGCTGGAATATAATACCTTAATCCTCCAATGGCATATCCATGAACATTTCTTTTTATATGGTCGTTTGCACTTATAATCCTCAAGTCTTCATATAGTGTTCCCTGGACAATTGGGAAAATATTTTGAGAATCAGGATTTTGATGTGCTTTTAAACATCTGTCTAACCACCTAGTTGTCCTATAATAAAATTGTTGAAGTTTGATAATGAATCAATTAATGCTTATATTGGTACCTACCTGTGTACTGATACTTCTATCCTTTCTTTATCAGGATTTGTGGTTTTCACAACATCATCTAACTGCATGATTATATCGCCTCCGATAGCATTTTGTATTTCAATTGAATGTTCTGGTGTTAACATTACTTCAGCTTTCTGTTCATTTAGAGATTGAAATTTCACACCTTCTTCTGTTATTTCAGCAAGTTTTAATAAAGAAACCATCTGGAAACCACCTGAATCAGTTAGAAGTGCTCCATTCCAATTCATAAATTTGTGTAAACCACCAGCCTTCTTTAGTATTTCAGCGCCCTAGAAAGGTCTAATTTAGTTTTCAATTGTCGGTTCATTCTTCTATTTCATTATTGTGTAAGTAAAACGATATAAATTTAGAAAATATAGTTTTAATTACAAAACTCAATGAATGTTTACAATAAAAAGTTTCTATGTACTTACAGGCTTCGTCCCCAAATGATAAGTGTTAGCTAACATTATTTGGACGCCTAATTTCTCCAACTGTTCTGGCAGCAAACCTTTCAGAGTTCCCTAAAATAATTTAAGTACCTGTTAAATGCTGTGTGTTCATTATCACTGTTTGATTAAATACTTGTGTTCCAACCGGCATAAAAACTGGAGTGTCGATTTCTCCATGAGGTAATATCATTTTAGCGACTCTGGCTTTAGAAGTTTTACATTCGGCCAGTATATTGAACAGCAATGGTTTGCTTTTTTGAGTCATTTTAGCAGTTAATACTTATTACATATATTTATAACCTATATTTTAACCTAGCTGGAGCCCACAAAACAAAACCTGGAGCCTACGGAGTTTTGCCTGGATTGAGTGGATTGGACTGATTGGAGATTAGAGTGAAGACCACAGAGTACAGGGCATACAGTACAGACAGAGACAAAGTGTTGGCACTCTGTGGTGAAGTAAAGGTAAGTCATAGAAAAAATAGTACTAACGTTAGTACTACATATATTTTCTAATATGGCAGTTACTAGTATCAAAGGGAGATGAAATGCGAGATATTTATTTACTTGAGCGCGCCATTATTCCATGGCTAGAAATTGGCCTCAATGATTTGGGATCGAGGGGGATTATCCCTCTTTATCCTGCCTCATCTCGTGTAGGCCTGGACAGCCTTCGTAGGTGGGCCCCATCCGTCGTCTACCCCGACCGCAAATGCGGCCGGTGTAGGCGCTTTGTGGGACCTCCTTTTGTCCTGGCTGGGCCCCGCCGGCTAGGGCCCTTTCTTCTGGCGCTCTTCTTGCTTCGCCGGCTCGTCTGTGTAAACCCCGGGGGTAGTGTCATGTTTATGTGTGGTATGGTTGGGTAGGGTAGTGCGGCTATGCAGCCTGGGATGCGCTTTGCTAAGG